TTTTTTTGAGGGGGGGGATGAGGGGGGTGGGAGTGGGTTTGGCACTCCTTTCAAGGAAATTATTTATTCTGATTTGCCTTTAGAATCCTCTACAGAAGAGAGATGAGGACCTATAAATCTTTAAAAATAGGTCAACATCTCCCTAATTATTGCTTTAATTAGTGACAGCCACATCATTATTTTTTTATTTTGTTCAATTTAATAGGAGTCAGAGATATCCCAATTTTGCTAATTTGAAAGAAGTTATGCCCTTGAATTTTAGTGGATTTCACCAAGTCTGTATGGTTAAAAAATATAAAGGCTGTACCTTTAGTTTTCCTGTCACAGCTGCTCTTTTCATTTTATCCACAAATATGAGTAGACTGAACATATATGGTCTAAAGAAAGAACAAATAGCAAGAAGTTCTTAATTACATTTGGTAAACAACAGTGTGAAGGTAAGAGCTTTTTACAGTGACCCGTACGCTCACTAAAAAATGTTCCCTCAGTTGATTGCCTCATATTCTGGATGTATAACAGTAAATCAAATCATAAATCTTTAAATCATAGAATACCAGGTTGGAAGGGATGTCAAGGAACCTCTGGTCCAAACTTTCTTGGAAAAAGCAAAAAAAAAAAGGTCCCAAAATACTTTAAATATCTCTAATAGATCTAGTTTGTGAGATCTGAATGGTGCATGGAGAAAGTTTTAGGTTCAGAAAAGACTTAACGGTTCGTTTATGCAAAAAGATTTCACAGTGATGTGTCATAACCCTCTGAAGTACGGAAGACCTTCGTATGTTAGGTTTTTCCATGTTCAGAGCACTGTAAAGATGCCTTCAAAGAATTCTGTAATTCTGTGCTAGAATTGCTAAGAAATTAATGCTATTGCCTTGCTTACTAACTCCTTCATCAGCCGCTTTCATTAAGATCAGTTTAAATGTACACTACTTAGTTGCTGTGAAAAGAATATTTTATCTTGTATTTTCTTGTGCTGAACATTTACATAAAACCTGTTAGTGATGGAGTTAACCTTAGATTGCATTTTAAGTACTTTTGTACAGGTATTAAGTGTGTATTTAAGTTAATATTGTTTAACATGTAACCTGTAGTTCACTGCCTAATAAACAGAATTACTTTCATACAGAGAATTGTAAACCAACCTTAGCATGAATAGTACATGAAGTTAATTTGGTAGGTTCCTGGTGCTAATGAAATTGTCCTTAAGTTACATTTTCAAATATTTTATAGTAACTGCATTTCAAATTTTGTATTTCTTTCTTGTTTTCTGATTGTGGGATTTGTCTAGTCAGATTTTTTTAAGACTACTTCAGATACACAAATATTTAATATTACGAAGTGCTGTACTCTTAACACCCACCATGCTGTTAAAGCAGTTCCTGATTAAGAGAGAATTAATTCCTGATAGACTGCAAATTGCTATCACTATTATCTCACTCCGTAGTTATTGCGGTAATTTATCAGTATCAGTAGAGCTGAGAAATACAAAAGAAATGTAAGGAAGTTTGTGCCGATTGTGATAATTAATCTCATGCCATACCTTGCTGCCTGGGTCTTCCACTCTCCCACGCAGTGGCAGTCGCAGTTGGGCACCAGGCCTTGAAACGCTGGAGGTGGTGCTTCTCCTCTGCATCTCTCAGTGGGGGCATCGGGGAAGATCCTGCTGCTGGGACGGGCTCTTCAGGGTGGAGGCAGTGGGAGAGTACTCGTTCTGCTGGAGGGCTTGCTTTGCTTATTGCCTGACTTACCTGTGCTCTGCACATTTCTTAGCCACCGCCTTGAATACAGGAGGACAAGTGAAACAAAATGAAAAGTTTGGCATTTAATGTCGGATTCACAAGCTAAATTAAAGGCTTCATTTTAATTTTTTTGAAGACTAGCCTGTCTGTAACTGAGCAATAGCTTGACTTTGCCCCTTGCTATAGTAAGACTGATTGTCCCTGAGCGAAGCTGATGCCCTAGACTGCCTCAACAGCTGCAGTAAGCAGATAGTAGCCCATTTCCCTCCATATTTTGTGTCACAGCTGATATTCTACAGCGCTGAATTTACATGAGGGCGATAGCCTCTCTTCCACTGGACAGGCATAAAAAGAGAACTTTTCGCACCCTACAGCACGAAACACTTAGAGCGATGTGCATTTAAAGTTTTACGGCGATTTTTGATTCGGGATGGTGCTTCTAAATTCTTCATACCTGAAGTTCCTCGAGTCCCGCCGCGGAAGCGCGGAGGGAGCGGTGCGCGGGGTTTGCGCTGCGCGGAGTTTGCGCTGCTCCGGGCGCAGCCGCCAGAGGGCGCGGC